AGCCTCTGCTGTCGCCACCATTATGTGAGCGCGCTCTGGTGTGGGCGCCATTTCACGAGTGGGTTGAATTACTGGACTAGTGATCAGTACTCTTGAATGTCTCGGAGCTTGTGGTTGACTAAACTCCGTAGCCACCATTACAGGCATAGACACGGTGTCGCATTCCTCCTCCGCGACACCCACAGTGAATAGAGAGCCAACAGTCAACAAAGTATAATCCAAAAGTGAGAGTGACGAACGCGGACCCTCACGTCTAAGACTGAAGAGGTTGATTAATGCCATCACAGAAAAACTCTATCAAAATAATGTCTGGAAAATCTGAATAGTGAGAGATGGCTAAAAATTCTCTAACATAGTTCTCCAATGATCGCAGGCCTTGTTTAAGGGCTAATAATATTCTTGCAGTGTCCATACCTGGCCAGTGTCCACTTGAACAGCTGCTGGATCCTTCTGTGGCCGAGTATTCTGTTACGGGGCGAACGAGACGTGAGACGTGCAGATCCATCTGCAAAGCTTTATTCAAAGGCGTGGTCATAAAACAGGCAAGGTTCTGACAATGGCAAACAGGTATATTGAGGGCAAGACAAAAGAGTAATCTAAAACGGGCGTGAGTCAGTCGACAGCAAACGTTATCCAGAGGGCTTGACAAGAGGGGAAATCCAATAACACGAGCAATAGTCCAGGAGAGGTGCGAACACAGTCCGAAACAGAAAGGCAAAGGGTAAATCCAAGATACACAGACAAGAATCAGGTAACAGGCAATTACAAGACAAAACTAGACTAGACTAAGAACTAGTGATGTTATGTTCTGTGCCAAGGCTTCGGAGTGTGTGTCGAGAAATCCCGGCAGCTTTCAGTGAAGCGTGTATTGAGGCTTGTATCACTTTAGAGCAATGACGTCATTGATGACGTCCGAAGCCTCGCTTGGCCAGACTGGTTCAGGAAGCGGTTCGAATCTTGTAAATTCACTGTCCTCTGCCCTGTTAAACTCGGCCACTTTCCAGTTTTACACTAATAATATTGGCCCTCCTACCTATTATGTGCAAAGACTTGATTTACACACATTTGATAGCCCTATTCATTTCAAGCCAATAAGTTTATTATACAGTTATGTTATATTATGTTATACAATCATTATATGCCACTAGAAAATACATATTATATTCATATAAACAGATTAGTCTATGTGGAAATTGATTTTTTTCCTAATAGTTATTTCTAAGCCTTAACTGGCGCAAAATACAGTGTATCACAGACCACATCAGGTCATCTGTAATGTATCTGCTTGTTTTACACTCTTTGGCCACCAGGTGGTATTGTGAGCAAATTAAGCCTCAAGAAATGAACCCTTTTGTAAACCACTTGGCTGAAAAGCTTCAATGCTTCATGAGGCTTCATCTCGCCATCACTACTAAGAACTAACAACTAGGGTAGAAAACTGGCTCCGTAATGTAGCTATCACTAGGTGAGCGATATACCCTAAACAATACTCGGCCATGAGAGAGAGGAATGCAGGGTCTGAGATTGGGTGTGTGATTGGCTGCAGCCGTGTGCGAAATCAGTGCAATGAATGATGGGAAATGTAGTCCGGGATGACATGCAACAGTTTGTGTAGTGTGAGAGTCAGTCTAACGGAAAGGCTGACCTCTGGTGGCAATCGGACGAAAGTCCATGGACAGGATTCATGACATAAACTTCTAGACGCTTCTATCTCAATATAATCCAGGAGAGTGGTGGAACGGAGGCGGAACAGGGGTAGGAACGGAGGGCCAGGTCCACGTGGAAGTGGAGAGACTGGGGACTGAGGCAGAGCCGGCAGGGCACCTAGGCGGAACCGGCGAAGCAGAAAGCCAAGGCGGAGCAGGGAACCAGGGTGGAGCAGAGAACCACCATGGTGGGGCAGTCGGAACAGAAGACCACCACGGAGGAGCATAAGACCACCACGACAGAGCAGACAGAGCTTTGGCCCACCAGAGCGTGTCGGCAGACCACCACGGCGGACCAGAGTGATCAGGAACCCATGGCAGGGACTGGGGCCTAGGGAAAACTGAAACACAGGAGACAGACAGTGCATTTACGGTCTCAAGGACTGAGGCAGGAAATACAGTGGGCTTATTAACGGTCTCTTTGGGCATGACTGACAGTGCTAAAAGTTCAGTGTAGGTCTCCTTGAGAGTGGCTGGACAGACAGACAGTTCAAAGTTTGGGGCATGGGCAAAAACTGAGTGGGTTGACAGTTCACAGTTAGATTCAAGAGCAGAACTAAGGCAGGCAGACCTTGTAAAAACTGTGTAAAAAAAGTGTAAAACTGGATGTATTGACTGAAAATGGACTAACAAACAATTCATAAACTGATACTGGGCAGGCAGATAGTATGACATCAGAACTGTCAGTGGGATCTGAACGTAAACCACTTGGCTGAAAAGCTTCAATGCTTCATGAGGCTTCATCTCGCCATCACTACTAAGAACTAACAACTAGGGTAGAAAACTGGCTCCGTAATGTAGCTATCACTAGGTGAGCGATATACACTAAACAATACTCTAAACCAGTGTTTTTCAACCCTGGTGCTGAGCGCCCCCCAACACTGCACATTTTGAATGTCTCCCCTATCTGACACCCATTTCAGGTCCTGGAGTTTCTTTTAATGAGCTAATGAGTTGAATCAGGTGTGTTTGATTAGGGAGACACACAAAATGTGTAGTGCTGGGGGGCGCCCAGGACCAGGGTTGAGAAACACTGCTCTAAACAATACTCGGCAGTGAGAAAGAGGAAGTCCATGGCTTATAAAGTGTGTTAATTGGTTGCAGCTGTGGGTGTAATCAGTGCAATGGATGATGAGAAATGTAGTCCATAGTAATGAGCGGGTGATCTCGGGTGGTGAGCGAACTGAAGAGCAGGCACAGGATCCGTGACAATACCAGTGTAATATCCATGTCATTATACAAATTTGTGTCCTCATAAATCACATAAATATGCACACACACACACACACACACACACAAAACGTCTTTTCGTAATTTTTTTAAAACATGGATGAGGCGTGCTTCAAGGGATTCAGCAATAGTTATAGTATACCTCTTTTTTAGGACTATATACACTTAACCTATTTTCAAAGGTTTGCAAATGCAAATTACAGTTGTCTTTTTATGAGACAGTACTCACATTAGAGTGAGGAGGTATAAGCAGACTCACAAACATCCAAAATTGGCATAAATGTATCATTAGATAAGTCAGAAGTCAAAGGATAAATTAAAGTAGCTGTCAGAAAGATGTGCCAAGAGAGATGGCATAAAAGAAAAATAGGCACAATCTTATTGGCATTCAAAAAGAAGTTGAATCTGAATGATACAATAATATCTCAGCTAGAATTGGACAGCCTTATAATAGAAAAGCATGATTCTGGCTGTTGTAATAAATGTGGACTTTAGAAACTAAGAAAAGAGCATGTGCTGATGAAATGTAAGGTATGTGAAAAATCCAGCTCAGAGGAGAACTAAAACCTCTTGCTATCAATTGCGAGACATTACAGAACATTCTGAACTAGATGAGTAAAGTTTTTTAACTTGGCATTTTCTCATATAGTATAATATACATATTCTCATATACAGTTCTGCTTGAAATTTTGTGAACCCTTTAGAATTGTCTATATTTCTGCATAAATATAACCCAAAAAAAATCATCAGATTTTCATGCAAGTCATGAAAGTTGACAAAGAGAACCCAATCAAACAAATGAGATGAAAATATATACTTTGTCATTTATTTATTCAGGAAAATTATCCAATATTACATATCTGTGAGCGGCAAAAGTATGTGAATGTCTAGGATTAGCTGTTAATTTGAAGGTGAAATTGGAGTCCATCTGTTCAGAGGTGTTTTAATCAGTGAGATGGCTATCAGGTGTCAGTGTGTGCCCTGTTTTATTAAAAGAACAGGGATCTATCAAAGTTTGGTCATGTTTGTGGAAGTGTATCATGGCACAAACAAATTAGATCTCTGAGGACCTCAGAAAAAGAGTTGATGTTGTTCATCAGGCTAGAAAAGGTTTCAAAGCCATCTCTAAAGAGTTTGGACTCCACCAATCCACAGTCAGACAGACTGTGTACAAATGGAGGAAATTCAAGACCACTGTTACCCTCCCCAGGAGTGGTCCACCAACAAAGTCCACTAGGTTTCAAAGGACTGCAGGCTAACTTCTACTAAAGGCCTTTCTCACATTGGCTAATGTTAATGTTTGAGTCCATCATCAGGAGAACACTGAACAACCATGGTGTCCATGGCAGAGTCGCAAGAAGAAAGCCACTACTCTCCAAAAAGAACATTGCTGCCCATCTGCAGTTTGCTAAAGATCATGTGGACAAGCCAGAGGAATGTTTTGTGGATGGATGAGACCAAAATAGAACAAGCACACAAGTCATTCTACCAAAGAATGGTTAAAGAAGAACAAAGTTAATGTTTTGGAATGGCCAAGTCAAATTCCGGACCTTAATCCAATTGAAATTTTGTGGAAGGAACTGAAGCAACAGAGTTGAAGTGGTTCTGTACTGAGGAATGGGCTAAAATTCCTACAAGCAGTTGTGCAGGACTGATCAGCAGTTACAAGAAACGTTACTTGCCGTTATTGCTGCAAAAGGGGGTCACACCAGATACTGAAAGCAAAGATTCACATACTTTTGCCACTCACAAATATTTAACACCGGATCATTTTTCTAAATAAATAAATGACAAAGTATATATTTTGTTTGATTGGATTCTCTTTGTCTACTTTCCGGATTTGTGTGAAAATCTAATTATGTTTTGGTTGATTGGATTCTCTTTGTCTACTTACAGGATTTGTGTGACAATCTAATTATGTTTTTGGTCATATTTATGCAGAAATATAGAAAATTCTAAAGGGTTCACAAACTTTCAAGCAGCACTGTATATATTTCCCCTTGTACAGCAACACTCCACCCCAGTAGGGGGCGGAAATGCACCAACAGTTGGTTTGCCAACCACCATATAACCTAGAAGTAGAAGACACGCTACTGCAGTGAATAAGCATTTTAGTTCATTCGTCGTAGTTTTAAGACGCCACTATATACCTAAAGGTTTACTTCCAAAGAAAAGTATTTTTGACTTTAGGGCGTACACAAACCGAAAAGTTTACTTTATGCGACAAACAATGATGAAGATCTTTCTGGAGGGCGTGGAAAAGTTTGTTGTTATCACGTGATAGACCTCTAATGTTTGATAAACTATTTCTTTCTTAAGCTCCAGTTCTTTGGTTCGACGTTCAAAGGATATTCACAAATAATGCCTCAACCTAAATACAGAAAGATTGCTGTATTAGGGTATCGATCTGTTGGTGAGTGTTTGATATAACGTACTTTTGTTTCAGTAGGAAGTATTTGATGTTATGTAGTCGCTAAGTTAGAGTTCTTACAGTTGTATAGTAAATTTCATGTTTAGCTGTTCTCTGTGTCCAGCCACTTTAAGTCAATTTACTAATTTATTTCGACACTGTAAAGAAACTTCAAACAGGGCAGCAGCATTTGGAAACATAATGGAGAAGCGCATGGTGCTGGCAGGAATTAGCAACGTGCGGATCTCAACGCACGAGGATCACACGCGATCATTTACAATCATTTGCCAATGAAAATTCGAATATCATCAATATGGCAATTCTAGTAACATCTCGCTATGCCTCAGAAGTGATTTGTAACGAGTTGGCAGTTCCTTTTTAGCTAGTAATTCGCCAGTTATTGCCGAATGCTTTCTGTTCCACCTTAAATGACTCTACGACTCACATTAACGTGTCGATGGCGCTGTGTCCATAAAGGGCTCTACAGTGCTCATTCTCGGTCATTTTCAAGGGTACGTTAAATGTGACACTGTTGTTTAATGAACAGTTTAATGCCCCATCAAGATTTTCAAACTATACATGTCGAGTCGAATGTGACATTTTTACTGTACCATTTGAATGGTTTTGTGAAATTAACGTGCGCGACAACAAAGAATAAGGCGTCCTGTTGCACCTTCTGGCCAATATGAGGCTGCCTTTTGCCTCTGCCAAAGTTTGTTATTCTACCGCTCTATTTTAATGCACATATGGATCTTACATTTGAGTCAACGCATATAAATAAGTTTAGTTTAATCATCTGTTTGATGTGTAGTACTGGTTTTTCGTCATTATCAAGGATAAGCCTAATATGATGGCTGATAAAAAAATACAAAACTTGAAGAATACTTACTATACCTTTTTTTTTTTAAATCGAAATTTCAAAATTAAATTTTCAGTTGCTACAATAGTGTAAATCTATATCGATAGAACCAAGGTATATAATATTCTTAATTGACAAAATTCTGTTTAACTTTATCTTGCACACACGATAATCCTTTGAAATCCTTTTATATTTGGTGTATTGCCTTCTGAAGTGGCAGTTCTTGTGGTATTGTTTGCTGACTGGTGCCATTAGGTTTACAGATTACATTTTGTCTTTATGCAAATGCAAAGTGATTCCCTATTTCAGTTGAGGACAGCAAGCTATATTTCTATTGTTATCAGCTATTTCTAGCATCCAAATAATATAAATAATTAAATAAACCTTTTGCCCAGTTTGTCTTGAACAAGGAAACAATGGCTTATTCTCTGTACCATACAGTAAGTTAGCTTAATGGGATCATAACACATTTATAGAAAAGTTAACAAAATGTGTACTTTTGCCATGCATTATGCTTTATATCAGGACTTAGTGTCATGTTTAACACACCCATGAAAACGACTGAGGAAACTTTACAAATTGGGCAGAAGTTGCAAAAGTAAAAACGAGGGGGGTTCACACAATGCATTATACATTTACATGCATTGTGTTAGTGCCATGTTCTTAACCTGCATATACATGTGGCTTGATCAGTCAGCAGCTTTCTCAACACCTTTCTGTTACTTTAGTTATTATTTTACTTTAGTTATTATTTTTTCTGTTATAATAAAATAATTTATGATTATTATTTTACTTTGTCATTCAACACCCTTATAATAGATGGCACATTTTTGTTACTAATTATTGTTAAACACTGTTTTGCTAATAATTTTGATTTATTTTGCAACAGGAAAATCCTCCCTCACGATACAGTTTGTAGAAGGACAATTTGTAGATTCCTATGACCCTACTATTGAAAACAGTGAGTACTGGAATATTTTATTGATATACTGTTTTTCTAGCATTCATAGATTGCATTATTCTAAAATGACATAATGGACTAATAGGCCTACATGTAGTGACTAGCAATTAGTATATGCTACTAAGTTTTTAAGACCATTATATAATGTAGAAAGAAAGTATGAGAGTTGACAGGGCTGTTTCTGACCATTGACTCATTGGCATTCCTCTGGGGAAAACTATGACTCTTTGCATTTGAAATGAGCCTGTGTGCTGTAATCTGTTAAACAACATAGTGTAACCACTTTTGTTTATTTTTAATTTACTGTTTTTATTATTTTGGTTAGTATTCACTTTCTAGTTTAGTATAAATGTATATATGTATATAAATGTCTTTCTTTATTTTAATGTTTTGGCAAAGTTCATGTAAATTTGAATGCTATATATTTATCCCTTTGTGTACATATATATATATACATATATATATAACTTGTGTAATAACATTAATTATTCATTAACAAACATTGTTACATAATGTTTAACAGATCATTAGTTGTTTAAATAGAAATTAGTGTCATTAAAATGTGATTCATGTACTGTTATAAACATATGAATGTTAATGAACCACTTATCTGCTAAGTATAATGTTGTTTAAGAAGTAATTAAAGTTGTGTTATTAGTATTGCCAACATATTTTTATTTTCATCAAGTGATCAGTAATGATCATATTGTGACACCTGTCAGGTTAACTAAATAGGAAAATTGGAAAAAAAAATCTGTTGTTCCTTATTCAGTTTTTAATTCCTGCTTGTGTGCTGTGTGATATCTCCGCAGCCATCGTGGAAATTTTATTATAACCTTGTTGCTCCAAAACTACCTTTGAATGTTCTGATATCCCCAATTGAATATATCTGTTCTGTTTGCCTTTAAGCTTTTAATAAAATGGTGTCTGTGAATGGCCAGGATTTTAATCTCCAGTTGGTTGACACAGCTGGACAGGTAAGAACACCCCAGGCCAAACTTTCTGTAACTTTTTTCCCCCATCATTTTTCATACCAGTTGTCCCCTCCCCCTTTCTGTTTAGGATGAGTATTCCATTTTCCCCCAGTCTCATTCTATGGATATTCATGGTTACGTTCTGGTGTATTCTGTCACTTCAATGAAAAGGTCAGGGTTTTTCTTTCTTTCTTATACTGTTATGGTTGTTTTCCTTAGTCATATACAGTGCCTTGCGAAAGTATTCATACCCCTTCATTTTTTTTTTCCACGTTTAGTTATATTGCGGCCTTATGCTAGACTGCTTTAAATTACTTTTTTTCCACATCAATCTATACTCCATACACCATAATGGTAGAGAAAAAAACTGGTTTTTAACATCTTCGCAAATGTATTAAAAATAAAAAACTTAAATGATTCCATTGCATAAGTATTCATACCCTTATCTGGGACAGTTAAAATTTAGCTCGGGACCATTCATATTGCTTGTAGATGTCACTACACTTCGAGTGAAATTAACCTGTGGCAAATTCAATTGAATGGATATGATCTGGAAAGGCACACACATCTTAATAAAAGGTCTAACAGCTGATAATGCATATCAGAGCAAAAACCAAGCCCTGAGGTCAAAATAACTGCCTGTAGAGCTCAGAGACAGGATTGCGTCAAGCCACACATCTGGGGAAGAGTTCAGGAAAACATTTTTGCTTCATTGAAGGTTCACAGAAGCATGTAGTCTCTGTTCAAATCAAAAACAACTGCCCGTGCAGATCATGATTAAAATGCAGTGGTTGCCTCTAATTTCAAATGGCTAGATATTTTTTGTTTAAAGCCAGTTTGTTTGTTATAAAGCAAATAGCCAATAAATAAATTTGCTGAAAAATCAGTATCAGAATCCAATTTGCTAGTTAAAAAAAAAAGAAAAGAAATTCTGAATCAGCTATGATCGGCGTAATACTAAGTAAAAGGCCTCAAATTTGAAGTACAATCTGGGATGTCTTTTTCTATCAATCCTTCAATAGATAGATCTTGTCTTTCATAAAGGCCGAGGTCAGGGATCTTGAGCCTAAAAAGGTTGGTGAACACTGCTCTAAAGAAACGGGATTCCCTAAATTATCGTCATTGATATCGTTATCGCAATAAATATCAGAAATTATCGTGATATATTTTTAAGCCCATATCGCCCATCCCTAGATAAGACATATGAATTAGCCAAGTCATGCTTTATGAACTTTCAGCCAAGTTTCTGTTGCCATTTCTTATTCATTTCCAAGAGTGCATTACATACATAACATTGGGTTATGATACTCAATTTAATACTCTATCAAAATACAAACATTTGAATATATTTTTTTTATATAAAAATTAATTACATTTTATGCACTGAAACTGACAGAGAATCAGCACTGTATAGACTCAGTGCTATAGATACCAACATGTTAATGAAGTGTCACGTCATTAAAGGCAGAATAGAAAGTCTCAGTAAGTCAAGTAGGTGGACTTGGTCTTGTGAGAGCATTGTGCTCAAAGGTCAAGGTCAGCTGGACAGTAGTTTGAGAGTCATGGAACAAACACATGCCATTTGTTCTTTGACCTTGCATTGTGCAAGAAAATGCATTGTTCAGATCAGTTTTATATTGAAGATGAAGTTCTCACAAAATGTCAACGTTATCAAATGCGTTGTTTAAAGGCTTTTAGTCGGTCACCAAAACTACCTCACTGATGTAATTCAGTCAGACTGCTATCACTCCTGGTCAGAGGCTTTATTTTGTTTGCAGTGTTACATTTCAACTTGATCAATTTAATGGTGCAACACTTAAATATTTTGCATTTCATGAATTGTAGATTGCTCTCTCCCAGGGGACAGACACGTGAGTAAGTTTGTCAGCTGTGACTTTTAATAAAAGTGATCTGTTGTTCTTTCCGCTGTGTCCTTTCTTTAGCTCACCTGCTATCATGCTTTCCAGAGCGGCCACCATGGCTGGGGTCACTGCTCACAAGATCAGTAAACACATCACCTTCCTCGCCAATGACGTTGCTTGGACTCCCACGGCTAGTGTTTCACCTGTTCACCCTAAACCAATATTGCTGATGCTGCCATGGCTGGGCTCCAGACCGCAGGCCATTGCCAAGTACTGTGATATTTACTTTCGCACAGGCTTTGATGTGCTCATAGTGGAAAGTGCGGTGAGCCAGTTCTTGTGGCCTCGCTGGGGGTTGGAGTATGGTGGCCATGTGCTGGAATTATTAGAGAGCGAGTGCTTCTCACAGCGCCCCCTACTGGTCCATGCTTTCTCCATAGGTGGATATACATTTGGTCAGGTGCTTGTTCATGTGGCCAAAGACACCCAGCGTTACCAAGGCCTGACAAACAGGATCAGGGGTCACATCTACGACAGCCTTGTCATGGGATCGCTGGAACATATGGCCAACGGTACGTACAGAGATAGCTATGTATGTATGTATGTATGTATGTATGTATGTAAAAGTATTCATTTTTTTCACGTTTTGTTATATTGCTGCCTTATGCTAAACTGCTTTAAATTACTTTTTTTCTACATCAATCTATACTCCATACATCATAATGATAGAGCAAGAAAACAGGTTTTTAACATCTTCGCAAATGTATTAAAAATAAAAAACTTAAATGATTCCATTGCATAAGTATTCATACCCTTATCTGGGACAGTTAAAATTTAGCTCGGGACCATTCATATTGCTTGTAGATGTCACTACACTTCGAGTGAAATTAACCTGTGGCAAATTCAATTGAATGGATATGATCTGGAAAGGCACACACATCTTAATAAAAGGTCTAACAGCTGATAATGCATATCAGAGCAAAAACCAAGCCCTGAGGTCAAAATAACTGCCTGTAGAGCTCAGAGACAGGATTGCGTCAAGCCACACATCTGGGGAAGAGTTCAGGAAAACATTTTTGCTTCATTGAAGGTTCACAGAAGCATGTAGTCTCTGTTACCCTTAATGGAAGATGTTTAAAACAACCAGGACTCTTCCTAGAACTGGCCTCCTGGCCAAATTGAGCAACTGATGGAGAAGGGCTTTGGTTGGTGTGGTGACCAAGAACCTGATGGTCACTCTATTTGAGCTCCATGATCATATGTGGAGATGGGAAAAACCTACAGAAGGACAAACACCAGTGCAACACTCCACCGATTTGGGCTTTATGGCAGTGTGGCAAGACTCAATCCTCTCAGTGAAGACACATGAAAACAAACTTAGAATTTGCAACTAAAGGAACCTCAGACTGTGAGAAATAATATTCTCTGGTCTGATTAACCTAAATTCCAAGCATCATGTTTGAAGGAAACCAAGTCTGCTCATCACCTGCAGAGTACCATCCCAAAAGTAAAGTGCTGGTAGCGTTTTTCAGCGGCAGAGACTGAGGGACTCATCAGAGTAGAAGAAAAGCTCAATGCACCAAAATATTGAGATAGCCTTCATGAAAACCCAGTCCAGAGCATTCAGAACCTCAGACTGGGCAGAAGGTTTACCTTCCAACAGGACAATGGACCTAAGCACACAGCAAGAGTGGCTTATAGACAACTCTGTGAATGTCCTTGAGTGGCCCAGACAGAGCCTGAGCTTGAACCCAATCAAATATTTCTGGAGAAACCTGAAAATGTGCGTCTGCCCCCATCCAACCTGACAGAGCTTGAAAGGTGAAGAGGTGAGGTGAAGAATGGCAGATAATTGCCAAATGCTGATGAGCAAAGCTTGTCGCATCAAACAAAAAAGACTTGAGGCTGTAAATGTGCGTCAGCTAAATATTTAGTTATATAATAATACTTATGCAATGTACTTATTTCATTTTTTTTATTTTCAATTTACGAAGTTATGACAATTCTGTTTTTGCTTTGTCAATATGGTGTATGGAGTGTAGATTGATGTGGGGAAAAAAGTACATTTAAGCAGTTTAACAAAAGGCAGCAACATAAAACGTGAAAAAAGATTATCAGATCATTTAAAACAATATAATCTCTGGTTTACAGCTTTGATGCCATTTATGACTGAAATATTAGCTTAATTTCTGTTTCAAATGTGTGATAACGTTTTAAATCTTAATGGATATGTGTACTAATACTGCTCTGTACATGTATCAAACTGTTGTACTAGTTTCCTAATTAATATTACTAGAATAAAAATAAAAACTTATGCAATAGCAAGAGAACTGATCAAACATTTTCTGTTTTGGTTGGAACCACTATGACTGCCACATGATTTGGCTTGCTATATAGATATACTATACTATAGCTTACTATAGATATAAATGCATAGGCCAAAAATGTAAATTGAATCAGCACTGGCTCTGTCAAGCCCCATTTCCATCATAATGGTTCTGGTGCGGATTACTGACCAGTGTTCTGGGCTGGAAAAATCGATTCCACTCTGGCCCTATAGCAGTCTCACTGAGCAATGTAATAACATTCTATTCCATTACTCTGAAGGTCTTAATATGTTAAATTGCATGAGAGAGAATGTGTTCAATTTCAGTTTCTCTTGAGCAAGTACAGATGAGAGTAGTGGCAGTTTACCGGCAGAAATGCACAGGAATGACTCCCAATATCTGAACAGCATAACACAGAAATGCTGCTTACACAAACAATGTGACGCATCATATTTGTTTTTGGACTGGTTATGTAGTCACTTAAACAACACCTATATCACCTTTTCTGTTACATAAGTCTTTGGGAACACATGGAAACTTCTAGACAGGCTTCAGTTTGCCCAGCGAAACACTATGTAGGAAACACTGAATATATTTTACTAATATCTGATATGTCAAAACCATTGCAGATACTATAACACTAGTGACACACTCAATATTGGCTGAGAAAAAGGACCTTTTTTTTTAACCTCATATTCTGATACGTGTTATTTTTCTTCGGAGTGTAAGGGCTTAGATACTGATATGAATGTTTTTGAGAGGCCAATAAAATGTAAACAATCCGCTCTGTTTTCAGTTTTGAAGTTGTGCAGGTTCTACATGACAAGCTTCTTGATATGGTTGGAAAGATACAGTAAGTGTGGTTTAAACTTGTGAACATATGGTCTAAAATATTACACAAGGTCATAAAACATGTAGTCATAAATATTACGTATTCACCCAGGGTACCTACTGTTCTAGTTGGAAACAAAAAAGACCTTCACATGGAAAGGTAAGCATATACTATATATTCCCCTTTTGCATGTTTTAGGGACCAAGCACTTAACCCCTATTTTTGATGATGATGATGGTGGAGTTTAATTTTACTTTTGTAGGGAAAAATACTTAGAAAACAGTACATTACATATACTTGGTAGAATTGTCCCAAATCCCCCTACTACTCAGGCATACATGCTCACATCAATCTGACAGTCTGTGAGCATGTATGCCTGAGTAGTAGTGACCAATTGACCAAATGACCAATTTTTTGCCATCAGACATACGGTTGGATATCAATTTTTACCCAGGCCATATTGCCTTTTGTCATTTTGGATTACATTTAAAGTTTTTTTTTTAAAAGCCTATTCTAGTTCAAAGGGTGTTTGTCTAATTAATCATCATATGCTCCTGGCTAGGGCTGTCAAAAAAAAAATCGGATTTCGAATATTTGTCGAATTTAAAATATAAATCCACTAATTTTAGGTGTGCGTTAAGGAGGCAGCCTTATCAGTGGCGCACGAGATGCAATGACGATGCAAGTGTCGTTGAATTTTATTGTTTTTGTTAGCCTATCCAGTTGAAGCCACTAGATGCGGTGCTGCTGCATTGTTAATTACAAATATTGCGGGAAAAGAGAACATCAATGCGGAGAAGATCTTGTTTACGTCAAAACCGAAACCAAGCCGTTCACACAGAATGCATATTTCGCACATTTTCTAGAGGGACATCTGTGACAATGTGATTGACTTTCGGCCCTTTGTATTACGCTATGCATACATACATGATACTGTTTTGTATAAGCATTGTGCATAAACATAATGCACTTTTTTTCACAGATAGTCATGTTATCTTATTATTTGAATAAATGTGCATATATTTTGCTTGATGCGCCCTCTTGTGGACTCAGGAGAGAAGCCAAAAGCTTTTCTTCACCCTAACTGAAATGCATTTTAAATTCAAATTTAGTATTTCAGCCATTTTGACAGCCCTACTCCTGACAGTTTTAAAATGAATTTTGATATTTAGTTTTTGTTTTCTGTGATAGACATGCTTGCATATACTAAAAATCACAATTGATTTAGCAAATTTCTAATCTTAATAATTTGGCATTAAAGGGGGTCATATGATGGAGTGTTACAAGCTGATTGTGCATAGATAAGATCCCTGAAGTTGCAAAGACTAAAGTCTCAAAACCAAAGAGATATTCTTTATCAAAGTTAAGACTCTGCCACGCCCCCCTAAAACGGCTGGTTCTAACACGCCCCCACATATCTACGTCACTATGTGGAAATATTAGCATAATGCCGCCCAGATGTGCATGCAAAGAAAGAAGGCGTGGTTTCAGTAACCGCAGTTAGTGTTGAAGCAGCATGTCAGGGAGACGCTGTGTGTTTCTAGGCGAAAGCAAAAGCACTAGCACTTTATTTGGCCTTCCGAAAGTAGATGCATTTAGGAATCTTTAAGATCACTTACAACAGAACAGCAATGCATTTTATAGATGACCGTTTCGTGAACCTAGGAGAGGAAGTAATTCTGACTTTGCTATGACAATCTGGCACTTCTGAATCAGCTACTGTTTTGTTATTAGTTTAAGTATTTGCTATTATACTTGTATTTGATTATATTATGCCAAATTACTGTATTATATTACTTAGATGTATATTTTGCTTCTGTAAATGTCTAATCCCTTATTTTAATTTTACTTCTAGTTTATATACTTACATACATTAGTAATTCATTTTGAACTACATGCTTAATACTTTTTATATATTATTATTATTATTATTACTATTATTATTATTCTTTTTCTTTCTGTTAATACATATGTGTACTATTTGTAAGCAGTTCAGCTGCAATTGCTTTGGCAATACAAATGTATAATTTTTGCCATGCCAATAAAGCACTCTTAAATTGAAATTGAGAGAGAGAGAGAGAGAGAGGGAGGGTCATAGCACAGTGAAGTCAGCTGTCTTAACCGTGGCTTGTGTACTGCACACATACCAGCTTCATCACTGTGTCTGTCACGTGACTCTGTTCCCCTTTCGGGCTTGAACTGATGGTAAAACTAATGACATTATTTACTGTCTTTACATTCATTTTGAAAGATGAAGCTCGCGATTATGGTAAGGGGAGTTACATTTCCAACGAGTGCTTGCGGTGTTCGGCCAATCACAATGCACTGGGTCAGCTGACCAATCAGAGCAGACTGTGCTTGTTGGAAGGTTGGAAGGAGGGACTTTGTAGAAAACAAAGCATTTGAGAGAGGCTGGGCATAGAGGACCTACAATAATGTACAGTATTTTAAAAAATAATGTGTTTTTTGAACATTAAAGCATGTCAACATATTCTGTTACACCAAATACACAAAATAATGATCTTTAAAAAAGCATCATATGACCCCTTTAATATCATGAGCCTGATGAATGATACCCTCTCAAAACAAGCGTGTTAAAGTAAGGCATTGATGGGCCATTTAGGTAAAGGATGAACGGGATTAACATTATTAATGTGATGTAATGCCTTTTTGTGCTTTTGTCTGTATATGCAGCAACAAAATGAGTAAGGGCAGCTGCAAAGGGAATGAGATAGTTGGTAGGCACAGCATTTCCACTCTCATGCTTGCTCTTTTTTTTTTTTTTTTTGTTATAGAGTGATTAAACCAGAAGAGGGCAAGAAGCTTGCTGATTCTTGGGGTGCCGCTTTTATGGAGTCATCTGCTAAGGAAAATCAGGTAACTTCGGGGGTTTTTTTTTTAAATTTTCCGAATAAGGAACTTTTGCTTGTTTTACAGTTGTTTACAAAACTTGTTATAGACATATTTCTGCAGTACACATTTTTGTTTTCTGTACAGTATGGACATTTGTGCATATGTTCTACTTTTTAAAAGAGCATTCATTTTACAGACAGCTGTAGAGGTTTTCAAGAGGATTATTCTGGAAATGGAAAAAGTTGATGGAAATGCCCCATCAGAGGAGAAGAAGTGTGCTGTGATGTAAGGCATGCAGTAAACTCACATGCTGAAGTTAAGAGACACATCACCGTGCCATTAATTATAATGGAGCAGTTCGGTAACAGGTCCTCTCCTGATTAATTATTTCCAAATGCAGTCAAGTTTTTAAGCAAATCAGTACTGTTCAAAACCAATGTCAACCAACTTTCTTTCAATATTTAGTATTGGGAATTCAATATTAATGCTATATGAAGCTAAAATGACTGTAAAAGTACTTTGGGAATTCAATATTAATGCTATATGAGGCAAAAATTACTGTAAAAGTACTGTAAAAATGACTGTTTATTTAAAATCTCCAAATCTCTTTTACTTTAAGCTTTGTTGACTGACATTTAATGTTTAATCTGACAGGTACTAACCTGTCTGCAAACTACGGTCTCAGATTATCTCAGCAGTGCACAGTTGCTCTTATTTGGAATTTGTTTTAGTTTTTTTGCTCTCCCTCTGACAACTATTTACTAATTTTACTTATCTTGAGTAACCAGCAGAATTAAAATGTGTATCAGTAGTCCATTTGAATTGAGTTTTTACAGAGACTGTCATTGAGACTGCACATATTAACAACTCAGTGCTGTGCTCCTCCTTTCCTCTTCCTAGTGGAGTATGTGAACAGTGTGGGTGTGTATATATAAGATGATGCAAACAACATCCTAAAAGATCCACTGTTCACACTGTTGGTTTTATACACAATCAAGTGACTACAAGAACTGTATTCTTTCTAAACCTTCAGTATAAAGTAAATATTAGATCTTTAAAACTTTGTTAGAATTCTATTTGTGAGATTTCGCTTCTTCTTTTTTTCATTTGTTGGAATTGTTTTGCTTTTGATTCAGCTTGGTTACCTGTAACGATGCCCTACACCCATTTTATTCATGCCACTGTCAGCATAAACTATTGTGGCATATAAAAGTGTGTGTGAGAAAAATACACCGTTTTAGTATATGATGCTGAACTTCATACAGACCATTTGCCGTTTGTGAGGGCATAGTCTAATATTTACATAGTTACCAAGGACCAGTCAATTCATGATCAGCAGTTTCCCCCTGTGGAGTCGTATAAACTTAAACTTCATTTAAAAGCAGGGTCACAAACAATACCTCTGTAGAGCCGTTACAACTGATAATACACCGGCTACCAAAAAATTTTTTTCCAATGCAGTTGTAGTATCCTCCCTGCTTCCTATTTAGTAACCCCTTAGTGATATTAAATAGCACCAAGATACGAATACCATCCAGAAATGTCCTGACCTATCAGCACTACTGAAGTCCAAGGGTCCTTTGAAATCTGACCTCCTCATTTTCCTGTGAAGTTCAGGGTGCCAGGTTTTTCATTTTTATAATTTTGACAACCACCTTCATTATAATTTTAGGGACTTCTGTATATGGAATTTTTGTATGTGGAAAAATAAACATTTAAAGAATGTGTTAATGTGTTTTCTGTTTGTTTTCGTTCTTGCGGTTTGATTTCTCACCTCAGAGTTGAAATAGTCAGGGCAATACATTTTCCATATAATTCAACTTGCTGCTTAACCACCTTAGTACAATGCATGTTTGCAGAGATTAACTAGTCACAGCTTTTAGTAACTTGTCAAACATCAAACTTAGAAGTTGTTAATGCAGCATGCAGGTGGAGTAATAACTTCTGACAATTAATGAATTTAGTCATTTACATAAACAATTCCATTCATTTTTATATAAATTATGTAATTGCTGTATGCTTTCCTCCCATATATGTGCAGTTTAGTCTGTGAGTAATTTTCATGTGATTGTAATTTCGCTGTGACACTGCTGAAAATGAACATGGCATCTGAGGACTGCTTTGCTTTTGTTCTCTTTTAATTAATGTCCAGATGTTTGATTACATCTTGGGTTCCCTCTTATGTAATAATCTGGGGTTCCCCAGATAAAACTCTTAATTAGTCAAAATTCTCATTATTGAGTTGCATTATGGGATTGAATGAGCACACTTGATAATGTTCACTATGGTCTTGGACGCCACTACAAATGGCTGTTTCATCAAATGGTGTAGCCATTGCGACTATGCAATAAAAGCACAGGCCTTGGAACACCTGTGTCTATGAGACTGCTCACACCCTGCATGGTGAGTACTGCTGGCGTTTTGAAATTTTGTTCCCCACTAGATTATAGCTTCCTTGCTTCTGGTTGGTTGTTATACTGGGGATCTCGAATACTCTTTCCCACAACTAATCCTAACCATAATAGAGGAAACCAGGGCGTCATAATAGTTTGCAGTTAATAGATGAAATAGTTTTTGAGTTAATGAAAAACGGTTTCCATACCTCAGGAAATGTGCTTCATTCTAGAAATCTTAAGAGTATTGACTCGAAGGTGACTAAGCCAGATGCTGCCTTTGTGCTGAAATTACTTAAAGTGATAGAATAAAGATGGACATTTTAAGGTGATGAAAACTGGTCAGGTTCCCTCAAGTTAACGCTTATAACAGTGAGTTAAAATTGAGGTAATGCGCAGTGATGTCTGTGATCGTAGGTAACAAGGATTCAGTACATCACAAGAAGTAGAGACAATAATTTACCCACCAGTCAATGCTCATCAGTCTAGAACTGCATTGAAATGGGCTAATATAAACAGTGAAAAGATATTGAGACTAGTGTTTTTATTTATTTTAATTAGTTCTTGGTGTGGTTCATTCGTGGTTATAAAGTAGATGTGATGCAACCGTTATAATGCATCTGTTATGATTATAGGTCACATAAGAAGACACATTCAATATAACTAGATCATGTTATTTTCATATTAAAATCACATCAGACATTTATCACTCAATTTAAGCCTTTTGGATATGACAGATTACATTAACTTATAATAAAACAAGTATTATTTACACAAGTACATTGTCATCATACCCCCAACTATTGTAATGTGTATAACTCAAGTTTTGTCTGGTTGATGATGCAGCAGTGTGTTCAAATCCATGCATTTAGTCCGGTTCAGTGAACTTCAACAGTTCACCCCTGCTTGGTGCATAAGGAGCAATGAACACTGAAGGGACAATGTAAATAAGAATGCAGTTTAGGATGATTTTGTTGTCTTGAGTCATTGGGGTTTTTGAATGGGATTTAGTTAAATACCAAAAATAAGGTATGTGGTTACCAGATGTTTTTAGATTTTATTCGGTTACACTTTATTTTGATAGTCCACTTTAAACATTTATAACTATAAGTAACTTTGCAACTACATGTCAACTAACTCTCAGAGTAGACTGTTAGGTTAGGTTTAGGGTTAGTAGAATAAGTTGACATATGCTTGCAAAATTTCTTACGTCAGTATGTTGTATGTTGTGGACCCATCAAAATAAAGATTTAGAAGATATTAAGCAGACAGTCTACTAATACTCTAATGACTGCTAGCTGACATGTAGTTGCAAAGTTACTGTTAGTAGAATGTCTAAAGTGGACTATCAAAATAAAGTGTAACCTCTTATTCTACTCCATAGCTTTTGGCTCGAAAAAAGAAAATAAATTGCTAACAAGTGATAGGTTGTTGTGGAAGTTAAACATAATTATGCCTAACAGGAAAACACGTGATGAACCTACTTGTACAGCCTCTTTGTGTTTATGATGCTCTTGCAAACTATTCTAATTCAAACTTTCCTATTTCTAAATTTTTAATAAAGACTAGAATATTTGTCAGAAGCTTAGTGGTGGCAATGTTTAAGGTCATATGACAGTGGTGCTTTATTTATTGACAAACTTTAGGTTTTTACTTCTGGCAATTGCATTTAAGTTATGTGAGGATTAACGTGATGTATAAAAGGGTGTAAGAATCAAACTTATTTTCTACAATAATCCAAACGACAATGGAAAAATCCTACTGGCTTTTTGCCAAGGGAACCAGGTTTGATTACTTGACTACCCCATATCTAAATAAAATAATTTTAGGTGTTTTTTTCTTTCTGTAAATGCTATTTTTACAGAAATAGAAAATAGTCAATAGGAAATGTCATGGTATTCATTATAGAGAGTACTCAAGACAAAAAAAGAACAATATTTTGAGATAGCAATCTTCAAAGTTGATACTCTAAAAGTGTAGAGAATCACTAAGTTTGGGTCTTCCTCCAATTCGACAACCTCCAAAGCAACAACCAACAATTTCACCCCACTAGATTTTCTGTTACCAAACTCCTCCTAAGGGGTTTATTTAAATTTGGCTCAGACCATTGGCCCTTGACCATTCAGGCTTTTTGTTTTAACTGTTCTCAAATAACACATGAACAATTTCATGACAAGATGTCTAAAAACATGTAAAGCAATGCTTTGGGATACTGACATGAAACTCTGCATGTAACCGTACCCTGCAATTATCAACGTGGTAACAGTGCCTCCTACTGTACTACAACAGGCAGTTGTATTGTAAGGATGTTTAATTATATCTTTCAACCACTTTTGTAAAATAATCACCGGGATGTTGCAACCTATTAAATGTACTTGTAACAGATCTGTGACTGTTGTGCTTGACTGTAATTCATTCCAAAAATCACACATGATTTGACAAGGAGTTCGTATAGTCTGCAACAATTTAAGCCTGAATTTTGGAACAATATTTTGAGATAGCAATCTTCAAAGTTGATACTCTAAAAGTGTAGAGAATCACTAAGTTTGGGTCTTCCTCCAATTCGACAACCTCCAAAGCAACAACCAACAATTTCACCCCACTAGATTTTCTGTTACCAAACTCCTCCTAAGGGGTTTATGAGATCTTCATTAAATTTGGCTCAGACCATTGGCCCTTGACCATTCAGGCTTTTTGTTTTAACTGTTCTCAAATAACACATGAACAATTTCATGACAAGATGTCTAAAAACATGTAAAGCAATGCTTTGGGATACTGACATGAAACTCTGCATGTAACCGTACCCTGCAATTATCAACGTGGTAACAGTGCCTCCTACTGTACTACAACAGGCAGTTGTATTGTAAGGATGTTTAATTATATCTTTCAACCACTTTTGTAAAATAATCACCGGGATGTTGCAACCTATTAAATGTACTTGTAACAGATCTGTGACTGCTGTGCTTGACTGTAATTCATTCCAAAAATCACACATGATTTGACAAGGAGTTCGTATAGTCTGCAACAATTTAAGCCTGAATTTTGCCCAACACCAGAAGCTGCTACAGTACAAAAGGATGTTGTTTCTGTCATAAACTAACAAAAAGAGAAACGGATACATATCAAGGCATGGTTTTAAATCTAAAAGCAAGATAATACAGCGGTGCATGAAAACAGAATTGTATCTCCATAAGAACAAAAGGCACAGTAAAAGGCCCTGAGGTATAGAGGCCACCATGGTTTTATGCCCAAAATACTACAAATTCCATGTTTTCAATCCTTGTATTCAAGTGCAATCTTATAGCCATTCATCAATATCTACTGCCAAGGCAAATCAGATATTTTGAGGCATTTACCCCAAATCATTCACAAGAAAAAAAAAAGTTTTGTCTAATAACAATAACGACTTAAGAAAAAGTAAGTGCAGGACATGAACTGCTGCTCTGTATAGATTAGCTCTGATTAAATTAATCTTTACAATGTTGCGTACTTGAATGATACAGTTAAAAAACAATCAAGAGACAACAAAAATGAATTAAATTCATAACACACTCATTAAATGATTCAAAAAAGGTGTTAATTAAAAGAACATTGACATTGTCTTACATTACCACTGCCCAAACTGTTGCCATTTCTAAAACTACCACTAAAGAATCGACTGTCTTTAGGCTTGTTTCAAATCCTGAAGGTCTAAAAAGCCGTCAATAACAAGAATTTCATGAGAAATGTCTTTTAAGTGTATAAGACAGTCAGCAACTAAAATAAAACAAGTCACTTAAAATGGGAGAATAAATCATTTTTTCTCAATTACAATGACCTTTTTGTCCCAAGAAGTATAATTTTAAGCATTTTTCATTTATGAGATGAGATAATTTTCCCTTTTCTGCCCCTCTCTGTTTTTCCCTATTACAGTACAAATGTGCAACACACAAAAAAGTAAGACGATAAACAGCTCAAATTAAAATCTAAATTAGAAAACAAATGGATATACTGTATTATTTGGTCTGTAGAGAACAAAAAGTAAAAGAAAAAACAGTCAGTTTAATGTACCCCCTGTATTTAGATTTGGCACTTTTCCTTTCTGCAGTTAGAGGATTGAACTGGAATAAGTGAGAGCAGAGAATAAGGGTGAGAAGAGAGGAGCTGCTGGAGGCTAAGAGATGGAAGAGGGGATGAAAGAATACACTGTAAAGTTTCACCAATAAATTAGGTACTCCTGATGTAGTAGATATGGTGCAACATCAAGATGCGGAGGAGAAAAAAAAAGATAACATGAAAAGTCCTGAGGGTGTGTAAGTTGAGTGAAATATATGGGCACAACAAGGCTCAGATAATGGCATTAGTGCCACGAAGGCCGACCCCACGGGCAAACTGCTCCAGCAGGCCTGAGATGGCACCAGAAGGGCTTGGAGCCGATGACTTGAGTCCTACTGTAGAGCTGTAAGCTGCAAGGAACAGCTCCCTCACTGCCTCCAACCTCACTTGCCTTTCAGGTACAAATGTACACCTACAAAGAAAAGAGAAAAAAAACATTAAAAAATGCATTTAGCGTCTTAGACTGATGATACACGGGGCAACTTTTTTAACAATGTTGCTTGGGCACTTTTCCATTGAGAATGGGTAACAAATTTCAATCTGGATACTTTAGATTGGTCGTGAGCCCTGTGTCTCACCTGGTTGTCCGTTGACGGCAACATTGCTAAAAAAGTTGCCCAGTGTATCATCAGCCATTCTCTCCCTTCACTTAAAATCACCAATTTTTTTGTGCCTTCCTTAAATACAATATATATATGTATAAAAAAGTCTTCACATATCTTTAGACCTAACAATATCATAAATTTAAAAAAGTAATATTTAAAACATCAGATCGTAATATTACAAGAAAAAAGTTGTAAAGAAAGTAAAACTCAAATTAAATGGTGACCAAAGGTGAGGCCATTTTTGGAATGTCTGGTTCTTTCTCTGGAATAAATTCAGTTTTGTACAAAATGACTGACATGTGTGAATACTAATAATAGCATGGGGCTGATGTGCCAAAAGAACAATAATTTTTTTGGTTTCTTAGTTTTTGGATTTAACTAAATTCTTCACGTTGCAATGATGAAGCTGCTGCCTATTCCTGGGAATGCAGCCTATTCCTATTGTGATAATCTTGACTAATCATGTAAACTATTACTCATTCAATCGCAGTTTTATTGTCAAATTACAAGAATACAGTGAATGAGTTCAGGTGGGGTTGGAGTGTGTATGAGACTCACATTCGTCCGCTGGGACCCTCATCCTGGAAGCTGAATGGAAGAGGAGACTCTGAGGGCACTGGGGGAAGATCATGGATGCTCCCACATCCTGACACAATCTGCCAACTGCCGTAATCTGTGGACAGCGAGGAGCCCGACCGAGCATATTCCACCACTGGCCTGAGATTCAGAAAGAGACAAAATATTAAAAAGATGAATATAACAAGAAAAAAATATGAATAGAGCCCAATTGGGTTGCTCCAATAACAAAATGTAGGCTTTGGTATAATAGCAAGCTCTGGTTCATCTTTATTGAAAATTATTAGTGAAGTGTGTATTTGTCGACAAATGTCAACCCAAGTATATAGTATCATGCACACTACACAAACATGATCTATAAGCACTCAAAATCACAACAAAATAAACTTTGAAAGTACTCACCTCCTTCCTGGTACAGCTAACGGGGTGCTTCCTGTCCGTGTAACATTTTGATCTGAGTGGTTGGATGAGGAAGAGCTTGAGGACTTAAAGGACCCCAGAGGACTGGCCTCAGTCATTACATTAGGTGTTCGCTCCTCTGAAGTGACCGGTCGGTTCCAATGCCCAGAATGAGAAGACAATGGCATGCCTTTCCTCCTGTGATACACACTAAATACGTCAACATTATTTAAAACAGCAACTGTGAAGTCAGGAAAATGTATTCACATAAAAATGTGAACAAGAAACTGAAAATAATGACATGGCCACTTTCTATGGCAGGTCGCATATATCTTATGATTGGACAGTGTGCACGAGATCCATGTGTAACCACAATCTCCGTCTGGCTACCTGACTGATCCTGCCAGTAACAGGCAGGCAAGTGCATTCATACTAATAAGGTGCCATTAAAGGTGCTTGTTTAATTTTAATTTTGTAAGCCTTACCCATTAGAAGCCTGTGGTCCAGTGGTAATCAGGTCTGTAGCTTCTGCAAGTAGACTGGAGGGAGCAGATGTATCTTCTGTGATGAGAGAGAAATCACTACTCAAACTTGTCACACTACCCCGATCTCTGGGCTCTGAGAGAGAGAGGGGAAGACAGAAAGAAAGACAGACAGAAGGAAAGAGAGACAGACAGACAGACCGACAGAAAGAAAGAAAGACAGAAAGAAAGAAAAGCATGTAAAATCTGTAGCCTATTTAAAAACTCTAACTTCCTGCAGGGCAACCACAAACAGATTGGTTTTGTATAACTTGTAAGATCTTATAATCATTAGCATAAAGGTTTGTGAATCTGCTGCTTGACTACTGTAGTCAGAATAATCACTGAATCACTCATTTTAATGAAAGTCAATTCTGAAAAATGGCAGAAATTTTGAAAATAAAACGTACTTAACTGGCAGAGGTCATCGACTGTGAAGTCAGCATCTTTGAATTGAGAATTTTTTCTTCTGTTACAGTAAAACAAAAAAGAAAAAGAAAAAACAAACAGACATCAATACAGTCACAGACTGCAAATATCTGGGTCATTGAGAAATTTAGCAGAACAGAATACATGTCACCAAATTTAGCATATCAGATTTTTCTCTCTGAAACCATCACAGAACCTATGAAGATGCTTAACTTACAGCCTGCCCTATTTGTGGAATTGAATGAAATTTTAAAAATAAATTAATTGGAATTGATTTCTGTTAAACAATTTGATGAATTAAAACTTTGTTGTGTTTGACTAGATAATGCATACAAAATTTCACACCAATCATCTAACTGATCTGTGAGGAATTTGATTTTAATTTATCTAATCTAAAATAGTAAAAATTATCACAGAAATCCACACAGCCATTTGATTTGGAGGTACAGACAGATAGAGAGGAACAATAAGCCCTTTGTCAGCATCAAGCTCACAATGAAATTTTGTAAAAACTGGATATTTTGTTCACATGTTTTAGATGTTTCGGGTAATTAGGCCATGCTTATAACGACTGATGGTCCAGTAGATATCACACCGAATTCAAAGTTCAACATGTATTTGATAATTATTGACCTATGGACACCAAATAATCCTCTTGCACTGGGAGGTTTTTTTTTCAACTTTGGCAAAATTCCAAGGACTAGTTTGAACTGATGAACTGATTGCCTCAGGAAACATTTCTGTCAAAGCAAAGTTGTTTTGGGTGAGAAGGCTTATAATAAAGACGTACATTGACAAAAGCCTTTAATTCCAAAAATATAAGGCTCTTGAGCCTGTGACAAACACTTGAAAAGTTACAGGACAAAATGCTTTATTGCCACATTTTCAATTACTGATCTAGAGATTTAAAAGTATATTTGTAATGTTTTTGTTGAGATTAAAAAAAATGTTTTTTTTAAAAACAACTAAGAAACGGTTGGCAAAAGTACGTTATGACATTTTTAATCGTTTTTTTAGAAGGTTTAAACCGACACCACTGGCTCTTGAGTGAAAAGTCCTTCTGCAGTACATAAAACAAATGAGTCAACCAATGGCTATGTAAAATATAGAATTTAATGCAAAATAAAAAATGGCTGCATGTTATTATGGCCAAAATAGGAACACTGTGCATCATATGCTCCCATATACAGCAAGGAATAAGAAGAGACCAGTCTTATAATTTTAGATAAAATTAGCAAGTTATGAGAAAAAAAAGTTCATATTACTTCATATTTCTTAATCTTAACATTCTCCAACTCTTTATGCATACACACTTCAAAATCGAGATGAGAACTGACCTGTGCTAAAATGATTGGTTACTGCACCATTTATTAAAATTTATTTTTAAAAATCACATCCTCAAAACCAACCACATATGGCTGCACCAAAACAGGACAGGCCAATGTCTACCAGCAATTTAAACACACAGAAAAACAGAAAAAAGAACAGAACAGAAAGAGGTTTAAAAGCTTAAAAGCTATCAAATTATTCTATTCTACACATACTCATGAGACACAAAGATGATTTTTGTATTTAAAATCTGAAGTCAGATAGCTTACCTTTGTTTTTTTATGACTGAAAATGTGTCACAAACAATATGCTTCAGAAAATTGAAGCAGAAAAAGAAAATCTAGGAGAGAGAATATCAAAAGTCAAATTGATTTTATATAACTGACACATGAACAATCTGTCTGGGAGGTGCACACTAAACAATAATTAAACAATCTAAATCACATTAATTGTACTCCATTCATAGCTAACATATTCTTTGCATAAATATTAAATATGTGTAGTCTCACCTCCTCCCCCTTAGAGAGCCGATCAGGCAGCATGTGACTATAGAAAAGGACAAAATAAAAAATTGAGAATTAGAATATACTTTTTTTGTTGTTGCATATCTAATGATGGCAGATCAAACATCACTTTCTGCAGACATATTTTTCTTTTTTCGCCCTTCAGACTACCTTTAGGAAATATATGTATATTTATGTTGTAGAACAAAAATTTAAAGACTCAAGTAATGTTAACAAAATAAATGTTTTGTGCGTATCGCTTATAACTTAAAAAAAGTTAATCAAGGGGCTCAAATCAATCAAAATTAATCTAAAGCTATAATGTCGTTTACAAAGTCCCATGGCACACTGCAGGTCACATACTTTTTGGGCTTCATGTGCCAGTCAAATAAGTGCCAAGAGATGAATGAGAATGTTCATGAATGCTTTAGGTACATCAGAACTCCTTGCAGAGTTAATTGTGTGCATTCAATAATAGTAGAGCCAATGTGTACATGCATAAAATTAGTTAAGGTCAGTAACTTAGTAATGTTACCTTGAAATGTGATTTATTTTATATATATTCTTTTTATTTTTAGAGAAAATAATTTTTAAAATACCATATCATTAAAATATTTATCTTATTGTTATGTTGCAAACTTTTAATATTGGTACATTCCTAGACAATTACTGCGTAAATGAAACAGGAATGAGACTAACCCAAAAAGAAACCAGTCATATGCTATAGTCAGGTAAAGGATCTCGGACGGCTCCAGACTGGCATGAATGGCACCGTCCTATAAAAATTCAAAATGAATTCAACACAAAGAAAGGTACAGAAAGAAGAAATGTGGATATTTAGCAAGGTGGAGTGAATATTTGATATAAAATGAAGACATATGTAATGAGAGGCAGAGGAATTAATACTTGCCGCCCACAAAGAAAGTCTGAGCAGAGATACAAAGAGAGGTGTCCTGTCCCAGCCTGATATACAGTGCACCAGTAAACCGTTCTCATCTGCAGACAATAACATTCCAAAAAGTTATCCAAAACTAAACAGACTAGTGAACCATGTTTGGTGCAGACGTGTGTGAAAGTGCAGTAATTTACCATCAGAGTTGATGATGTGTAGAAGCAGTTTCAGATAGTTCTGAGTCTGCTGCACCAGGTCCCATGACTAAAAAAAGATGAAGACAACAATTACCAAATACAAAATCATAAATGTACATACACATAATTTAAGTCTGTGGATCAGTGCATCCAGCATTCTTTATTAACCTTTGTCAGAACCATCAAGCTATAGTGTTCATTGTGTCTACTAATGAACAGTGATGATTATTTTTAATTTTATTTTTCAATTAAACTGAAGACTCCTAAAAGCCTCTGGTCAATGTAGTACTCTCACTCCAAGAATACATCAGTAAGGTTTGTGCCTTGACATTAATTACTTAACTGTTTGACAAAAATGCTACAAATTTAATATCAAATTATCTAAAAAGATAGAGACATTTTGCAGGTAGAGTCGTCTGCTTCAACATTTTTTGAATGTGAAGGCAATCAGAGTTTAGATCCAGCTTGTCCCATTTCCTTAAACCCAATCCAATTCCTGTCTATCTAAAAGACAGTCAAGAAAATGTATGAGACTCTGAGTACCTGATATTCACTCCAGTTGATGTTAAGGTTTTTTGTAAAGCAAGCAGGGATTGTCAGAGGAGCATCCACATAGTCCTATACACACACAACCAAAAGTGATGGTCAGCGAAAGAACAACTGTACTTATAGAAACAGTTTCTGTTGAACTTCTAATAAAGTTTTTAATTAAATAAGTTTGTTTATAGACCTGATTCCAGTTGAAGACAAGCCCTTCTGCTGTGTAATCTCTGTCTTTATATTCCCTGAAGAATTCACATCCTGAAAACAAGTGCATGAAACAACTAATATTACAGCTACAATGTAATGAATATAGCCATTGAATAAGTAGAAAAGAAGACTAATTGTTTTTTAAAAACAAAATGATATCAGCATAAAGAAGATCTATACCTGGATAAGGCACAGAGAGTAGGGTGAAGTCAGCATAGCGTTGGGCCTTGTCCACCTTTTCTGAGGAAGTCACACTGAAGACAAACACAAAATTGTAAAGAGAGTAAGAGATCATCGAGAAAGGAGAGAAATCATTGTCTCACAGACATGAACAAAATGTAAGTCAACACACAGCCACGTCATAATGAATACTGGGGCCAGGGTCCAAAATTAACTCCCGCAATGTAGTTTAAAACATGTTAGTATGAAGACGGATTTGAAAAATGGCAAAGGCCACAGAATAAACTGCAGCATGATAACTACAAAGTTGTCCAAAATCAGCCATTGTTGTTAAATTTTAAAGACTTCAATGAGTGAGCACACATGTATGTACATCAAAAAATGGAGCCAAAAAGACAAAGGTGCACATCAAATTTATGATAGAAATTATATTTTAAAAGAAGTTTCACATACATTTACAAGAAAATATATGTCAGTAACATGTTACTATGTTTAGAGGCATGAATGTGTGTTTATTTTTTTCATTTTACAAGCTTTTTGTTTTCTGTATTATCTATAATGTCTCTTCTATACTAGTTATTATACTAATGTGGGGAAACACAATGCTTACTTTGTATGTTTATATTGAACCTTTTTGGCACAAAATGTAGAATAAATTTAGAATAGAAAATAAAAACTTCTTGGATCCTGATAATGGCTTTGGTTTTGGGTCTGAAAGACCTACATTATTTATGACATAACATTTACTAAAATTCAGAGAATGGCACATCATGTAAATTTTTAAAAAGCATTCTAACATGAATGTAATAAAGTTCACTCACTTGAGGCCAAACTTGACCTTCTTATTCTCTACCATGAGGTCACAGATGTAGCGTACAGACAAATACTTCAACAGCTTAATGTCAGAGCCCCTAACCTTATCAAACAACTGTGAATCATTATTCCTGTAGAGTGACAAAGAAAGACCAGAATAAGATGATTAGAAGACAAATATTTTCTTACAAAACGCACACAAAATCAGTTATGTCACAATTCACAGGAGCAAGCCAGAACCATTGTTAAACTACTTATCTATGTCTATAACTGTCTATATAATTGAAATATTTGGCTCCTTGAAAGATTGTGTTCCTTGCCAGCTTATCTTACCGAACTGCACAGTCATCCTCCAGAACCTCTTCAGCATCACCAAAGGTGTCATCTGAACCCCCTGCAATAGTTTGAGATTAAACCTAATGCAATCCAAAAAGTAATGTCTACAGCTACATGTACACTGCCCTACAGTTTAAGCTCTCTTGAATGACTCTCATGAGTGAATGACTGTAGCTTGAGAAGTTCAACCATGTTAGAAATGTTACAATAATCTCTTCAAGGTATTAATCAATGGATGTAGTTATACCAATTACCAATACAATCTGAAAATCTATCTCGTAATGCAGGGGTGTCCAATTCTGCTCCTGGAGGGCCAACATCCTGCAGAGTTTAGCTCAAACCCTAATTTAATAGACTTGAATCAGCTATTTAAAGTCTTTAGGCTTACTAGAAACTATCAGACAGGTGTGTTGTGGGAAGTTGGAGCTAAACTTTGCAGGATGCTGGCCCTTCACAAGCAAGATTGGACACCCTTGTTCTAATGTGTATACATAAGAATCTTTACCTTTGTAATATTTTCACAGTTCAGTTTAAGTGACTGAAATTGTGCCTTTACTGCATGATTTTTATTTGGGTTTTGCTGTCAGGGACAGATATTTGAGGTCTGTGACAAAAAACCCAGACCACAGCCAAGCAGGTGTTTGAACTGGTTCAGTGACTAGATCTGAGCCTATGTCACAAACACTGCAATATTTTCAAGGATGTTTGATATTATTGTCTCATAATCCTGAAGTGTGATTGCTACAGCCAATCGAGATAATAAAGGAGGAGGATGGAAGTTCAACACGATATGACTAGTCTTGTGTGAATTTATATGAGAAAACAGATTTATTGCCATTGACCATGGATGTCTTTTGGACTCAAGGCTTACATAAGTCCACAAATCTATAACTCCGTCTTGTTTACCAGTGGTGGATCAATGGCTTTAACTGACTGCCCAAATGAGTTTTAATGACACCAGGACCATCACAAATAGCCCACTGACATGTGAATAACAAACTAATTTGTTAACTTATTTACAAATGGGTGTAAATGTTGACAGAAGTTCTATGGGTAATCAAATGGGTTCTATGACAGGAGTTTGGGGGAAAGGTTATATATACTCCATTATAGGCAATTGTCCCCATTTATATTTTGGCATATGGGTGCATGTTAGGGGAAGCCGTTTTGTTGCATGCCGCTTTAAATGCTAATGAGCTTTGCTATCCCCGCCCCTCTCTTCTGTGGGGTGACAGGCAGTTCTCTGAGAGACTGTTTACTTTAGCCGCATTTAGCTGCAAAACTTGCTAACAGCACGCTATTAGGAAAGGTGATTTGCAAAGATTCATAAAAAAAAACTTATACTCCTTCTGCAGGTGAAGCTGGATCACGAATGATCGCGCGAAGATAAACGCATTTAGGTAGATCGGGGGGCGCATTCCCTTCAAAAACAAACAATCCACTGCTCAGCGGCTCAGATGTCAGGAGTAAATGAAGACTGCTATGTTCATTATTACATCCAACAACAAAAGACCTCAATCGCTTAGGAGACATTCTTGTCTACATCTGCTCCGGCGGTGAAACATGGCGGACTGATGACCACTGTTTCCAACTCTCGCGAGACAAATAAGCAATCGCAGCTTTAAAAACAAGCTCAATATTTTTTGATGATTTATTATCATCAATATTATTTATTATCAATTATTTATTACCAATAAATGAGCCTGCAACATTAAACTGAAACTACTCTTTTATCTGAAAAGCAAAAACAGAAGCTATTTTACAAAAATCGGCAAACTGCAACAAAAGTGGGACTCTTCTGTGGGGTGACAGGCAGTTCTCTGAGAGACTGTTTACTTTAGCCGCATTTAGCTGCAAAACTTGCTAACAGCACGCTATTAGGAAAGGTGATTTGCAAAGATTCATAAAAAAAAACTTATACTCCTTCTGCAGGTGAAGCTGGATCACGAATGATCGCGCGAAGATAAACGCATTTAGGTAGATCGGGGGGCGCATTCCCTTCAAAAACAAACAATCCACTGCTCAGCGGCTCAGATGTCAGGAGTAAATGAAGACTGCTATGTTCATTATTACATCCAACAACAAAAGACCTCAATCGCTTAGGAGACATTCTTGTCTACATCTGCTCCGGCGGTGAAACATGGCGGACTGATGACCACTGTTTCCAACTCTCGCGAGACAAATAAGCAATCGCAGCTTTAAAAACAAGCTCAATATTTTTTGATGATTTATTATCATCAATATTATTTATTATCAATTATTTATTACCAATAAATGAGCCTGCAACATTAAACTGAAACTACTCTTTTATCTGAAAAGCAAAAACAGAAGCTATTTTACAAAAATCGGCAAACTGCAACAAAAGTGGGAACAAAACTCATCTCCAATCATCTGTGAGCAGAATAGGATTGGAGAGATCGAAAAGGAGGAAGACACAAGAGCTTCAAAGGGGAGCTGTAACATAGCCACATATTTATAACCTACTAAAATATAGGCTATTCGAACCATATTTACTCTTAGTATTATTATAGGACTACTTGTTTTTTTATTACAGCCCGTGATAATTAATACATTACAAAAACATTGTAAAAATAAAAAATTAGGCTAAAAGAAAGTCATCCCACTCCTCTACGTCTACTTGGATTACAGCATCACACGCCTTATTTTTGAACGTGATTTTTCTCTAAAGAGGGCGAGGAGGGGGCGGAACATTTGGCAAATTACGCTGCAGCACTTATATTATTGCACTGGTTGGCTATTAACTGCAGACAGAGTGTCATTCAATGCATTGGAGAATACAGCAAACATAAATAAAGAAACGAAGTTGCTTGTCAGATTTCCCTAACAAGCAACCTTTTTTTTTTTTTTTTTTTAATAATCCCAAAAAAATAGCAACCTGCCACCCGGGATTTTTTCACGCAACTTTACAAAATAAGAAGCCCAAAGTCACGTATAATACGCGGACTTGTCAAATCTGCTGATGACAGCTCACTCAGGGCGGGTCTAAGGTAAAGCAGTGTCAGTCAGCAATCGTGGGAGGGCCTGGGTCTGTGTGACGTCACACAGACAGGCATCTGAGAATGGCTTTATTTGAGAAAGGGGTAATGATTTTAAAAACCACTGGGTGGATTTTTATCATTATAGGGTGGTTGTGTACACACACTGCCAACACACATTTATGTTCAAACAACATGTAGAAGTGCATTTCGCATATGACCCCTTTAACTGCAGAAGTAGTTACACTAAACAAAGTAGATTAACATTTATATATCAGTAATTAAAAGGTAATTACAATGTAGTGAGTGATGAATCAAAGTATGTAGGCTACTTGTGTTTGAGTAACTACAAGTTCCATGTTTTGTTTTAACATTTGATTGAACACTACTATAATGGAACTGTATAATATCAGATGCAAGATCCTGGTTTATTACTAACCTAACTTTAGTTTATCTCTCAAGAAAGCCCCAAATTCATCACATTTAATGTTTCAAAAATTTCCAAATGGTATCTGGGTGATATTTTAAAGAATTGTCAGAATTCAATGGTTGTTTTGGTTCTTTGAGACCAGAGCTGCTCTGATTGCATTATTTAAAATTATTTAAATCATAATTTCATCATTATTTAAAAACATAAGTAGTGTTGACAGGCTGTACATGTCAAAATGTTTATCTGATTATGGTTGTTTCCTTACATTACTGTTAACAGTGATAAAAAAAAATATTGAAATACCTTATATGAATAAATATTAGCAAAAGTGCATACATAAAATATATTAGAAATAAAGATTTTTATAAATAACAAACCATAGGAATTAACATTTTTTTTATATTTTAAATTTTGTGAGAGCATATTGAAACTTGTCATGCATAAGTAGTGGCACAGGGTGGCACACATACCATTTAAATGAAAACATGAGCTCATTGATGTAATTTAATCAGTCTGCCATTTTTTCCATTAGTTACTCCTGCTTGGAGGCTTCTATAAAAATGTAGTTGATATGTGGTGTGTGTTTCAACTAATATGCAACGCTTACACATTTACTAGAGCATGAATTGTAAATTACTACATCAAAAAAATAAAGTATAAGACTTTTGTTAAGGCATATATCATTGGCAGTGCAGCAATATAGGAATTAAGCCACATTGATGATGTTCTTCTTTTACAATAAAAATCATGGTTTCTTTCAAGAATCTCTTTTCAGAGAAATAAGGCAAAACATAAATATAAAATGCTTATTCCCATTGACTTTTTCCCAACATAACTAACAACCAATCTGTCAACTACTGTGTCTCTTCAGTAGACTAAAAGAGACAGCAATGTTTTTACCTCTCTTTATGGTTGTCTGAAGATTCATATTCCAGAAACACAATCTTCCGTGGGTAGTGACCACACACGTCCCCATTGGTGTTGTGGATGATACTGTACTTGTAGTCCCGGCCAAACAGCTCCAAACAGCGCTTCTCTATTCTCTCTACCTAAAAATACATATAAAATGCATACATAATACATACATAACATTTTAAAAGCTTTTTTAAGACCCTTTCACAAAGCAAAAAATTATCACAAGATTATCAGAAGAACAAGAACGTTCAACCCTCTAATTTCAGCAACAAACAGAAAGAGATATGACTCCGAAGTAAAGTAATTAACTTTTTTGGATGTTGAAATATAATCATCATCAGATCAGCAGTAAAAATAATTTGCAGTTTTTTGGTCAATTAAATTATATTGAGTACTTTTGTTTGTATTGTATATTTTGATTTTCTTATATCATCACTCATTTCATCACCCATTTACAATAATTTATCTGTTAACACCATTGTGATGCATTCACACTGATTTGGCCATATTCTTATCTCTGCATGAGTGTTTAAGTGTACAAATCAGTTTAACTGTGCAACCAGTTAAACAACTACTGCCTGTGAAATATGACAATGGTTATGTCATTTTGACAGAACCTGCATTATTTCCCTGGACTTTCATCATCTCGAAACACACGTAGGTCTGAGACAACACCTAATGTTAACCACAGCACTGAGCCATGGTGCTTATTGCAGACAATGCAAGTTCGAACCTGAAATCAGCCTGTTTTACTACGCTTGATCTACACCATAACAATATATATGGCTGTTTGCATTCATATTATATATACATTTAGGGCTACACAATTAATCAAATTTCTAATCGCAATTACAATTACGGATGCCACAATTACGTAATCGTTCAAAGCGACAATTAATCATTCAAAGTCCACTTATGTTATTCTGCGCGCTTAAGAATAATACCATGAAAAATAAACCATGCATATTTTTACTTTTTTTATTTAAAGAAGAAACCAATCCCATGTTTAGTTCACATTTGAGGCTTAATACTATAGAAAAGCAATAAATGGTAGTTAAGAGTGTTTTCATCTAAAAAATATGGCACGCGGTTGCTTCAAACAATGGTATAAATATCATTCAATGTAAATTGTGATAATCGTAATTAATAATCGCAATTTCAAAGGAATAATCAACCATTATGATTTTTGCCATAATCATGCAGCCCTATATACATTCTATTATATTACATTCTGCATCCCCAATACATGGTCTTTTAGTTACTACGGCCAATCACAATTACTGTGGTCTATATAAACAGGACATAGTTTTGAAGAGGTGCACTTTAGGTTACAGAGAAGTATAAAGCAGTCTTTATGGTCGTGGGTTAGTTTTAACTACTATGATGATGCATCAGAACACAAGCATCATCTCGAATCCCCTCCCCCCTTAATGAAATTAGCATAAAGGTTAATAAAAATTAAAAAAAGTAAGAAAATATCTAACATGTATTCATTTTTTTCTCTGCCTAATCTGTGACTTTGGAAAGAAAAGACTCATGACTCATGAAATCAATTTCCCTTTGGAAGTTCCTTAAAGTCATACGAGCTGCTTCCAGTTGCTGTTAAGAAAAATTATTTAATTATGAAACAGTATGAAGTAATTACATTTAATGTTATTAATTTTTACTTATATCACATGACATTTTCAAAGTCATTAATTCATTTATCATTATTATTTTATTTATTTACTTATTCGTTTTCGAATTCACATTAAACCAACAGGAATACAAAGACTACGTCTAGTTTTAACTACTATGATGATGCATCAGAACACAAGCATCATCTCGAATCCCCTCCCCCCTTAATGAAATTAGCATAAAGGTTAATAAAAATAAAAAAAAAGTAAGAAAATATCTAACATGTATTCATTTTTTTCTCTGCCTAATCTGTGACTTTGGAAAGAAAAGACTCATGACTCATGAAATCAATTTCCCTTTGGAAGTTCCTTAAAGTCATACGAGCTGCTTCCAGTTGCTGTTAAGAAAAATTATTTAATTATGAAACAGTATGAAGTAATTACATTTAATGTTATTAATTTTTACTTATATCACATGACATTTTCAAAGTCATTAATTCATTTATCATTATTATTTTATTTATTTACTTATTCGTTTTCGAATTCACATTAAACCAACAGGAATACAAAGACTACGTTGATATGAATTTGGCAGGTGTTTTAAACGACACTTTGTTTTTACTTTATCACCTTTTATATGACATTGACCTATTTAACGCCTGCTTTGAATTATGGGAAGGGACTGACTGATGTTTTCAGTCTTACCGACGGGGTGACCTCCTTCGCTCTGTACTGACTCTTAGAGAACACATAGATCAGATCGGTTATCTCCTCGCTCCGGCTAGCCATCATCGAGCCGTCACCCGCCTTCTGCTCGATCCGAACCCGCCCTTCACTAAATAGCGCAGCTCCCTGGGGCCGAGAGGGTCCTCCAGGCCATCCCTTCAGGGCAAGCTTCTTCCTCACCGCCCGCTTTAAGGCGCCGGGGCCGGAGCGGGTGGCGCGTCCCGAGTTCAGGGTCCTGGCGGGATGATTCCCCTCCACAGTCCTGGTGATCAAAATAGCCCGTTACCGACGGTAACGTTACTAGACGTCACGAGAAAGACTTCAAGACTTCTCGCCGCTATTATATCTCCAATCAGCAAAAAGAAAGAGTTCTGTACTTCATTTATAATGAAAGCCCCGTTTCGGTGTGTCTTTGCTTTCCCAGCACTCACGTCAAAACACCGCATCCCACAAAATCTCAACACCCGGTCACCAATCACAGGAAATCCGCACGACTTTTTATCCTCGAGTCTTCACGCGCTGTTTACCCTTGAGTTTTATAATCGACTTGATTTCGACCTGGAGACAAAACATTCAGTGTTGTTTACAACGCCAAAACGGTCAGCTATGTGTAAAGGGATACAATAGAGCAGTTTGTAATGTTGCAATGAAATCTATCCGTGTTGGATATAGCTAAGGAACTTTAACCAGGGCCAGTAGTAAACAGGAAACTGAAGTGATCATGTGATCAATACTTCCTGAAAGGTGACGTCAAGTTGCGTTGTCTGCCATTTCAGCCGAGAGCGTATTGGTCTTGCATTTGCCCAAAGGTTTAAATTAGTATTAGATTCAGCAATTGATTAAAATAAATCGGAGTTCATTAGAAACAGGCATATATTTCGTGATGGGCAAATGAAGCCTCGTGAAACACTGAGGCTTTCCTCTTGACTGTTTCGGGAAAAGATTCAAAGCTTCGAGTGTGTTGACAACAGCGCCATCTGGTGGTCAATAAAAATATAAGTCAAAAGTCTGTGAAAGACGAAGCATCCACCACACATTCCATAGATCGGTTCAAGTTACGTGCACAAATAAAAGCCTAACAAGTGTGTGTTTGTTGAATTTCTGTCTCTGATCAATTAATTTACCCATTAAACTGCATTTTAATACCAGTACGAATATCATAATAGAGGAATAATATAGGCTACGCATATGAATTGCATTATATATTAAATGTATCTAAAATGTAACTGAATAAGTTAGAATTAAAACTTACTCATAAAGTATGATCTGGGGGATCGAACATTTCGACAGGTAAAAAGTGGACAGAAAAAGGGAAGTTTCGTTTGTCATTGATCACATGATTTCTGTTAACAACACAAGCTTCGAATCGAGGCTTCATCTGGCACGCCCCTACATTTATTCTCGACACAAGCTCCGATGCCTCGGTTCAAATGTCACATCGCTACATATATTTAAAGGGGTCATAAGATGCGATTTCAATTTTTCCTTTCTTTTTGGAGTGTTACAAGCTCTTAGTGCATAAAGAAGATCTGTAAAGTTGCAAAGACTAGTCTCAAATCCAAAGAGCATTCTTTATAAAAGTTCAGAGTCAACCACGCCTACCTAAAACGGCTCGTTCTAACATGCCCCCACATATCTACGTCACGATGTGGGAAGATTTGCATAACTCCACCCAAATGTTCACACAAAGAAAGAAGGCGTAACTTTTATTCTTGCTGTAGTATTGTTGTTGCCGCCTCCGCCATGTCCTGAAGGCACTGTGTGTTTCGTTGTGAAAGCGAAACTACTTTGTTTGGCCTTCCAAAAGAGGACGATAGCCGCTTCGTCATGCCTGGAGCTGATAGTTTAACGGTATAACTACTGCCATGTCAGCAGCAGCCTTTTCATCTATTTGCTATAATTATCGCTTGCATTGTGCCTTCAGTGGAGGGTTTGGATCCACCCTATCTCTTGGCTGTAATGTTACAACTAGGTATCATGAGGTATGTGCAGCTTTTGCAACTTGTTTGCCGTTTCACTCACAGTAACAAGTCAAGTCACCTTTATCTATATAGCGCTTTTAACAATACAGATTGTGTCAAAGCAACTGTACAGCATTCAATACGAAAATAGTGTGTCAATAATGCAAAATGACAATAGTACATACTCAATTTTCAGTTAAAGGCTGTTCATCATTGAATTCAGTGATGTCATCATACAGCTCAGTTCAGTTTAAATAGTATCTGTTAGGGATGGGAAGAGTCACCGATTCGCTCGGTGCATTGGCAAAAAAAGTTAACGATGCGATGCATCGGTTTAAAAAGTGTGC